TCTGACATGTACTGCCGTGTCTAAAATTATACCCTGGTGCATGGGTCAAAGTTACAGTAATCTCTTTGTAATAATCCATGGGGATATGTCTATATTTCATTAGGCTCATGCATAGTTATATTTGATCGGCATTCTCAGTCAACTATATTTCAAAGGAATTGTCATTTTCTCATTTTGAATATTCTATAGGTGCTGTTTCACCCCGTCGAGATTGTAAATATTTTCCTTGTGCAGAGCGTTTGTTTTCTGTTCAATGATTGTATTCTGTTTGCCAATTACAGGAGCTTTGCAACAACTTTGCCTGCAGCTTTACCTCCCTAAGTTTTATACAAGATAAAGTAATTCTTCATTTTTATTAACCCTTTGTGAATTTCGTTTAGTGGGTTTGATGATATTCTTCACCTCGATTTAGGAACTTTTGATCTAACCTCTATCTTTATCAGCTTAACTTTGTGCCCTATTTTTCAAACATCATTTAATAGGTCTTGTCCATATATGTCTGAATTATTTGTAAATCCCGTGGAACACAGTAGAGACATCAAGGGTATTTTTCTTTGAGAAAATTTGCATTAGTCCTGGCAAAGATGTATCAAATGACAGTAGTTCTCAGTCAGTGGTAGGTCTTCATTGCTACCTCCCATCTTTTTTTTTTTTTTTTTTTTTTGGTTTTTCGAGACAGGGTTTCTCTGTGTAGCTTTGCGCCTTTCCTGGAACTCACTTGGTAGCCCAGGCTGGCCTCGAACTCACAGAAATCCGCCTGGCTCTGCCTCCCGAGTGCTGGGATTAAAGGCGTGCGCCACCACCGCCCGGCTTCTACCTCCCATCTTAATACAGGTATTTGGTCACCCCTGTGCTTGTATTAGGCATGTGCATTCTGCCACATTTAATGTGAGTTCATATGCTCAACTGCCTTCTTCTGGACTAAGAAACTGTTTCCTTATAGTAAAACAAATGCCAGTGACTCTTATAATCTTTCTACACTTTCACAATGATCCAGGAGCCTTGTGGGGAGCAGATGTGAAGTAAATGTGTCACTTATGACTGACCATTTTCTACACTTATGCAATGTACCTTGGTCAATTTTTTTGTCTCTGTATTAGTTACTATCTGCTCCAAAGAGAATCTTTCTTTCATGTTAGTTAATTCTGAGATCACTGTTCTTACAGTTTGGAATATAACACCTATTTGTTTGGAAATTAAATACTTGATTGTAATTGAGATCACAATGTAAAAATAATTTGGTTATCAGCAGCCTAAAGAGAACAGGTAACAGTATTGTCTTCACTTTTGTGATCTTATGCAAATAAAAATACAAAGCGTGAGAAGTCATAGGTTGGTGTTGTGAGATATTTTGATCACACTCTGACACTTCTGATTCCACACAATAAAGTTATACCTTGAATTAAAGGGTGGGTCCAGTGACTAGTTGAGTGGAATTGGCCATAGACAAGCCAACACTTTGGATTGAGAAGATGAACAGGAAGGAAGGGCAGAGACTAGAATTTGGGTTTGCTCTTGGTTCTGGGATGAGGGGAGAGACACCAGGAAGCAGAACAAGCAAGATATGAAAGAGGAATAGTAACAGCCACAAGCTACATGGAAGCATATAGATTAATAGAAATAGATGAATTTAAAGTATAAGAACTAGTTAGGAACAAATGTAAGTTATAGGCTAATCTTCCATAATGAATGAGTCTCTGTGTTGTTATTTGAGGGCTGACTAAAATGTACTGTTACATGGTGGCCTATTTTGCTCAGTAAATCACTTTGGATATATCTTTGGGTTTTCATCCAGCATTTTGCACATCAAGATTCAATAAATTGAAAATCCTTCACATAAACAGATAATAAAGTATTGACTTCATATTTCTCTATCACTGTGACATCTTATCTGCCCAGTTGATTATGAGCAGCATGCACTGGAATTTAAGTATTTTTAGATATTTAATTGAGGGATTGGTGTACACTGACTACAAAAATATCATTCTGCTTTTATGGTTTTTACTTAATGTTCAGTTTTCTAGCCTGTGATATTTTGATGAGATGTCTCCAACCTAATGAAATTAATTTTGAAAGTGTCTTAAATTTGAACATTTTGTCATGATGGCGATGGGGTTCAAATTGAGTGTCTTCTCTATTCAAATCACGTCCTGTACTACTTTCTTCAATACCCTTTTTGGGGGTCATAGCTCCACATCTTCAGATAAGAATCTGTGACTTGAAGCAAAAGAGAAATCAGGAAAAAAGAAAGCAAACATTGCAGGGTGGGGGGGCATAAATAGGAAGAGCAGTGCACCAGTGATCCGAAGGGAAATGATGAAATGGGATGGGGTGACTTTATTTGGGATAGGGAGGGAGGTAAATACAGAAGGGGCATGAAGGAGGGCTAAGTGACTTGAAATGTGATAATTTAAAAAGGAATCATGCTATTAACTGTCTATACAAAATATATAAATGGATATAAGTCAGTGCATATATATTGCATATGGAAATTTCTCATCTGACTGAATGTCCCTCTGAAGAGCAACAGAGCACCTAAAGAATGTTAACTCCTGTCATGAGAAACAAATTCCAAAACTTTTATCCAAGAAACTTCTAAAATATTAGAATTTAAGTTCCTGCTACCAAAAAGAAGATACATTTTAGAAATAGCATCCAGACAATCTGAATTAAACATATTCTGGAAATCACTGTAAAGCCCTGCTTCAGTGTAAGAGAAGTTTTTCTGTAAGGTTCAAAAGAAGAAATGGTATGTAAGGAATTCTGATTGCAGAAGAAATAGTCTCCCCTAGTGAAGAGCACACAGCTTTAAAGAAAGAACTGGAAACAGGACACATTTAAAATGGAAGGATGTAGGTGAAATGAGGCAGAAGGGTACTTCAAGGATGTCTAGATGGTTAGAAAATGGTAAGGAGAACCAATAAAAACTAACCTTTGCAGAAATACTCTAATGAACCCATTACCTTATAAGCTAATTTAAATAAACAGTAACATTAACTCAGAAACAGCCTGACTCAAGGCTATTGTTCTGCATCATAATTTCTAAGACCCCTCTCATATCAATGTCCACTTTGTTCAAATTTCCACAATTTTCTCCCCATTCTAATGAAAATATAAAGTGTTTTGATTTCTATCATACTGACATATGGATTGTAAGGTAAACATACATGTGACAGATCACAGGAAGGGACTTACATCCTAGTGATAATGTGAACTCCCAAGTGTCAGACAATAAAACAAGAAATGAGATAAAAAATATGTCAGTCATATACAAGAATTGTGTGGTGTTTTCTGTGTTACCCAGCAGATTGTTTTCTGAAAAATATTTGCACCAGCTCACCCATCTATGTACATAGTGCTTTGTTCTGTTAATGCTACAAAACTGAACCAAATATGAGTGTTTTAACACATGAGAAATATATTCTCCCACAAACCTGGAACACAGAAATTCAAGCTCCATGTTTCCCTGGATCTGCTGATACTCTGAACCTCTGATACTCAGGAAACTCTGGTTTTCCTGAGTGCCAAATCATGATGTCTTAGTAGTCCTAGCTTCCATATTCTCCATCATGGCCATCAGTCTTTCCAGCGACATCAGGTCCAACCATAATGACCTTATCCACACTGATCACCTCATAAAATTACACATTTTCAATCGGGAGTCACGGGAATCAGGGCCTAGACACTTAACAGAGTCATCTGGGAGACACAAGTCTAAAGTTTTTTATAGCCATTGTCAAGTTGAAGAAAGTGCAGGCTCCTGTGACAGTAATTATTTCTATTTTCAGAACTTGCTCCTTTCTTCAGCAGATGAGTATTGATGTATGTGGCAGTGCTCAGGTTGGAAGCTAGTTGGTATATTCAACTTTACCACTTAGGTTCTGTAAAGGAACCTTAGTGAAGTTATGGCTAACATGTTATGTATATTTGCATATGTGAAATTAAATTTACAATCATGACACATTCTGCTCCTAAGATAAACTTCACTTAAAATATTACAAATGAGCATTTTATACATGATGCATGAAGTATATAAGCTATTATTTATGGATTTAGGGAAAAAGAAGGAGTGCATTCAATACTTCACATTCAAAGAAAACATAAATAGTGGCTGAATCTTTTCTCTGGCTGTAGGAAGGGATCAGGATTTTATATTAAATGAACAATTCAACATTGAAAAAACACAATAGCAAAGTAGATCTGAGTTCAAGACTTAAACAGAAAGTTTAGTCTCATCTTTTATTGAGCCATTGATTTGAATTTCATGAATTCAGCCTATCAGTTTCCCAGGGTTGGCAAAGAAAACATTTGGAATACAGGGAGACATGGAAAAAATATACAGACTTGCAAGATTTATACAAAAAGTGTTTTTAGACTCCTCCAGGCCATTGATAAGTTAGATTGGTATAGGAAATAATCAGTTTTAAAGAGTAGGGAATCCTACTGATTTTCACTGAGTCATGTCTGGTTGGGACATTTTCCAGGATGTTTTCCTTCTGATCTCCCCTGGCATCCTCCCTTGCAAGGTCTTTGCATCATCCTGAGTCACTGTCTCATGTAACTTTTGTGATAGAGTGTTCTTGCCAAGTCCATTCAAGAGGAGTCATCACTGGAGTCTTGCTGTTCTGTCTTCCTAGATGAAGTCATGGGGCCTGTGGATAAAGAAGATCCCAAATGAGTTTTGAAACTTGTTTTTGTCTTGAGTGCAGGGTCTCAGATGGGAAGTCTCAGGGAAGAAAATTGTCCAAAATTGTCCATGGAGTATAGAAGAGGCCTGTCAAAAATATCTGTGATTAGAGTGATGATGTCAGTCACCAAAAATAGTACAAACTCTTGTACCCACAAATACATGTTCTCTATATGTGGCGGCTGAACACGCTGGGATCTATGTCCCCCATGCTTACTGTGGCAGACACTTGTATTTTACGATGTTCTCTCGGGTTTTTCTTTTCTTGCTCCTGCAGACTCTTGTTCCTTTTTCCTCTTTTGATGCTTTTCAGTGTGATTCCGAAGCACTAAGCACTTTACATAGTGATGGAAATGTGATGATTGCTGCACTTTTTACACTTTTTAATGATTATTGCATGAAAATATATGATTTCAGATGTGAAGATAAAAAGACAATAGAGTAAGTGCTTTTAAAATTTATTCCTTTCCAGAATTCAGATTTCATTGTCTTCAAGTAAATTTGGATTCACATGAATTTAACTTTAATTTCCCATCCTGGCATTCCCTCTCTTGAATTCACAAAACTTTTTTTCATGTGTGTCTTCATGTTCCCTTTTTTACTCTCAAGAAAGTAGACTATGTATGAATGCATGCTATTTTACACATTTGGTACTCTGAATCTCTCTACATTCCTCTGCCTTGCATTTAGTTGTTTAGTGGTGAGACATTTTTGGGTTTCTCTGCATACAAAATATTTTTTAAAAAGTTTACGGTTTTTTGGGGGCAATTTTCAAAGTATAGTTTTTCTCATTGAGAAGAAATAATGTCATTGATTGCAGTGACTATAGACTCCTTATATGATGGTAGACTGACATGGGACTGCCTGTGCTAGCTGCTGCTGTTTGGGAAGTCAGAATATGAGAATCTGGAGTTGGGACCTCATCTGCTAAAATGATTTCAAAATGACTTAAATTTTTGTCTATAATCTTGATTAGTAATCTTTAAGTTTCTGTCAATTTGCATCATTCTCTCCATTTCATTCTAGTATTTCCAATTATTTACAACTGGTGTGGGTGTGTTCTGCAAGACACATAGATGTTGTTGGTGACCTCTGAGGGTTGTTTCTTAGTTTGATGTCTGTAGGATTAGAGGGCATGGCAGACAAATTAGTAGAATTGAGTGGACTCTGCTAGAGAGAAATATCTATGTAGGATTCTTTGTGAAGGATGTAAAATTTTTTTTATTACATGCAGACATTTCTGTAGCTATAGAATCAACTTATTAAGGTCTGAAATGGAGGAAGATGGCTTGCATTCAATTTAGAACAAAACTCTCTAAAATGGAAATGCAGAAGCAAGGTATAGGTAGAGAGTCATCAGATAGGCAATTAGGAGTGAAGATAAATTTAGGTTCTTGTGATACAATTGTGTTTTGCTGAAACCTGGATGTAGTGTTAAGTCATCAGCTCTGGTAATATAGAGCAGGAAAAATTATCAAGGAGGAAAAGATGATAGATATAAGTATGTAATGACAGGTTTGTCTGAAATATACACAGCAAATATGATGACAGATATCCATTTACAAGAGTGTGCCTATGTGACTATATGTGGAAAGTGGTTTTTTTAGTTTTTTCCCTAGTACTTGATTTTCCTCACATTATGATTCCATGCACACAGGCCTGATCTTTCTGATAATCATAAGAAAAATAACATATAATGTGTGGCCAGGAATGTATTCCATTACAATAACACTTCATTGTCTTAATCTCAATTTTATTTTACATTTGTGAAGCCTTACTTAAAAGATTATAGGTAAACACTATATACATATATATATCATAATATATACATACACACACACACATATATATATTACAACTTAATAAGTGGATACATATTTATTACCAGGTATTATATATATATATATATATATATATATATATATAACATGAAAAATATTTTCTTCAGATTAATACATATTAATTCACATGAGCCACAATGACAATGTTTTCTTGTCAGGTACATTTTTAAGTTATTTTATGAATGACTACAATATTCCTTCTAAGAGACTACAAACAGAGAATCTTTCTACTCATCTGTGAGCATCATTTTTTTTTCAAATATACTTAAAGGTAAAGTTGGCATGGTATGTCAAAATGGCATTTGAACAATACAGTTACAAGTATATGTGTTGTGTTCAGAAACTGAAACAAATGCATGCTTCCTTCCATCCCCTTGAGCCCTCCTTGTTACTTAGCTTCTATGGGTCTGTGGATTGTAGCATAGTTCTCATTTATAGCTAATATCCACTTATAAGTGAGTACATGCCATGTTTGTCTTTCTGGGTCCAAGTTACCTCACTCAGGATGATCTTTTCTAATTCCATCCATTTGTCATCAAATTTCATGATGTTATTTTTTTTTACCCGCTGAGTAATACTCCATTATGATAATGTACTACAATTTCTTCAGTCATTCATAGGTTGAAAGGCACCTAAGTTGTTTCCAGTTTATGTCTATTACAAATAGAACTGCTATGAACATAGTTGAGCAAATGCCATTGTGGTACAGTGGAGCATTCTTTGGGTTTATTTCCAGGAGTGGTATAGCTGGGTCTTGATCTCCATCTATTCCTAATTTTCTGAGACACCAACATATTGATTTCCAAAGTGGCTGTACAATTTTGCACCCCCACAAGAATTTTTCAGTGTTTCCCTAGCACCACATTCTCACCAGCATGAGCTATCACTTGAGTTTTTGATATTAGCCAAATTTCTGGTATGTGTAGAATGGAAGACCAGTTTTCTTTTGATTTGCCTTTGCCTAATGACTAAGGATGATGAATATTTCTTTAAGAGATCCTTGGCCATTTGAAATTCCTCTGTTGACAATCTCTGTTTAGGTGGTACCACATTTTTGTATTGTATTTTTTGGTATCTCAATATCTAGTTTCCTGAGTTTTAATATATTTTGGATATTAGTCCTCTGTCAGATGTGGAGTTGGTGAAGATCTTTTCCCATTCTGTAGACAGCTGTTTTGTATTTTTGACAGTGTCCTTTGCCTTACAGAAGGATTTCAGTTTCATAGAGAATATATTAATTGATAATTTGGACTTCATAATGTTTCTAATTAGATACCTTCTTTCTAATAATCATGTTTCATGTTAAAGGACACAAAATTTACTGTGTGGTTATTATAAAAATTCTCATAGTATTATGTTCATTTCCAATAGTTTTTACATTTCTTTTTATGAAAATAAAAATATGAATTACAAGACTATTCAAAAGTCTTCCATTCTTATCTTTATTTTTCATTTTTCTCATTTATACTCACAATATACAGACATAAGTATGTCAAATTTTCTACTCCATTTACCTTTATTAATAATATGAACTGCATATCATTCAATGTCCTCTGAAATATCAATGGTTTAAACACACATTAATTTTTCCAGTCTTTATTTTATCCTTTTTACTGAATTTCTAACATATTCTATATCTTTCGATTTTTTCAAAGGAAATGATGGGCATTGGAAACATTCAGAAATTCATAGTGGACATTTTTGCTCTTTGTCTCTTCCTGCTCATTGGTCTTTGTATCTTGAAACATTATCAAACTACTCAAAATATTGGAAACAATCAATGTTTATTTTTTTTTTTAGTTTTGAATTTACCTGATGATCAATGATGTTGAAAACTTTGTAAAGTAGGTTCTAGCTGTATGTGTTTTTTTTGGTACAGGATCCGTTCATGCCATTACCCATTTGTTGGTTGGAGGGTTTATTTCCTTAATTTATAACTTCTTTATTTAATTGAAATGTTTTGACACTAGTCTAGCATCTAAAGAACAAATGGAATGTGTTTTCTCCCATTGTATGATGTTTTTATTGATAGTTTTCTTCATGTACAGAATATTTTTTCTTTTTTTTGTAGTTGCATTTTCATTTAGTGTGCTTCCATCTTATGATATCTGAGGCTGATTTCTGTAACATTGGCATTCTATTCAGTAGGTTCTTCCCTACACTAATGTCTTGATAATTATTAGTTGTGCATTCTTCTATCACATTCAGTGCTTCATGTTTTAAGCTAAGGACTATGATCATATTGAATCAATTCCTATACAAGATAGAGGATAATGGTCCCTTTTCACTCTACTGTATGTTGATACACAGCCTGTCAGCTGCCTTTTTGTATAGACAGTTTGTCCTTAACTCCTCATTTTCCTCTTTGTTTAAAAAGTATTTGACTGTAACATTGGGGTGTAAAGATAATTACAGCTATCTAGAAATATCAGCTTACCCCAGTATAATGGTTTATCATCAAGAAATCTAATCATAAGTATTTAAAAGTCTGTAGGAAAATAGAAATCCTTATTTGATGTAGGTGGGCATTAAATTGTATAGAGATATTCTAAAAATCATTTTGAGCATTCATCAACTTTAAAAATAGAAATAAAATGACATAGGAAACAGTAATTCCACTTCTGGTTTCATCTCTAGATAACTCAGCATTCAGTCATGGAGATTTTCTGTCACTGTGAATAGTGTTCTTATCATTTTTTGTTTTATATTACTTTTGTTTTATTTTATAATTTAAATACATTTTATTTTTTATTTTTCAGTATAAATTTACATTTGTTTCAATATGTTTACATAACTACATATACATTTCATCAAAATATTAACCATTTCTTCATGATGAAAACATTCTTTTTCTTTCTAGATCTTCAAATGCATGAGGAGTGTGTGTGTGTGTGTGTGTGTGTGTGTGTGTGTGTGTGTGTGTGTATGTGTGGGTAAGTGTTTGTTGAATTTGTGGACAATATGGTATAGGTTATTTTAACCAGCTTCCAAATTCTATGAATATATTATTTTCCCTAATTACATGTTTTTTTTTTATTTTTATTCTACTCATTAATATTTGTTTTATCTCTGTTGGCAGTGTAGTTTTTATTCTGTGTATTACAACTCTGGATACTTTTTTAACTTTGCACATATTTGCATGTATACATATAGTTCTTTGAATACATTATAAAGAGGATCAAGGTACATCCCAGGGTTAGAAATTTCAAAGCCACATATCTTGATACATATTTGGAATCCAGAATATATAGGTTCTAATGCCAGTGAAGAAATGGAATTGGTAGTGGGGTGATAGCAAGCAGGCAAAAGGCAAACGTTTCCTTCTTCCATGTCCTTATATAGGCATCCATCATATATGATCTCCATTAAAGATATGTCTTCCAGCCTAACACTCAAGATTAAGGAAGTGAGTAAAATACCAGGATTAAAAGAATGTTTCCCTACCTCTAAGATCCAGATTATATATAATGAGGTAGATAACAAAGAATAGCCATTGCAAGTCCACCCTTTGACAAATGGACATACAATCATACATCATTTCCATGTGATTAATATCCAAATGAACATACCATGAGACATAGGAGGTTTAACAAATACATTTACTATGTTTTGTGAGAATATTCCGTCAATGGGGAAGCTTCAAGTAGTGTCTGTCCCTTCTCTTTAAGTTCTCAATAATACCAACTTTCATAATTATAAATGTTCATCATCGGGACCCATGGATTCATGAGCCTTACTTATAGAAAATAGGTAAGGTAGCCGGGTGGTGGTGGTGCACGCCTTTAATCCCAGCACTCGGGAGGCAGAGGCAGGTGGATCTCTGTGAGTTCGAGGCCAAGCCTGGTCTACAAAGCGAGTTCCAGGAAAGGCGCAAAGCTACACAGAGAAACCCTGTCTCGAAAAAACCAAAAAAAAAAAAAAAAAAAAAAAAAAAGAAAATAAGTAAGGTCTTTCTGATGAATGTGCAGTGATCCAGAGCTGGTGACACTGAAAATTCTTTATTCAGTATGTATGATGATAATTTATCATTTCATAGGTAGTATTCCCCTCCCACCTCTTAAAATATAATCAAGTCATCATCTTATTTTTTAAAGTTGCATTAATTATTAAGATGTCCCTCTGTGGTTATTTTTGTCATTTGAAGGTATTAAGGTAACTGTTGTTTAACTTATCAGATAGGAAAAAAAATCCCTGTGTTGGATCTTCAAACACATATTTCTTCATTTATTTGTTTTAATGAGGTTTCATTGTTGGGAAATATCATTATTGTTGGGTCTGTGATTGCAATATGATGAGGGAGAGAACACTAACATCTGTTAAACCAGAAGCAAACTTTATTCTAGAAGAAAATCAAAGAAAGAAATGAAGATCACCAAGGGGAACATATGCTTATCAGCTAGTTGAGACCACAACCAGAGTTCACAATCTGGAGCTGTCTCAAAAGGGGTGGGTTTCAAGCCCCTTTTTATAGAAAAAGTAAGCATCAAGCATGGGTTGCATGCTGGGAGTCATATAGAAACATAAGCATGGGACAATTGCTAGAAGTCACATAGAAACAACTATTAAAAGTTGACTTTGGGCCGGGCGGTGGTGGCGCACGCCTTTAATCCCAGCACTCGGGAGGCAGAGCCAGGTGGATCTCTGTGAGTTCGAGGCCAGCCTGGGCTACTAAGTGAGTTCCAGGAGAGGCGCAAAGCTACACAGAGAAACCCTGTCTCGAAAAACCAAAAAAAAAAAAAAAAAACAAAAAAAAAAAGTTGACTTTGGTCCAGGCAGTTGTTGGCTATATGCGGCAAGGTGGTTAAAAGTTAATCCCTGGCTATTGACAAAGGAGCTGGCTGAAAGCAGAGATATGCTGTTAGAAGTTAACCTTTGGAGCTGATGACTGACAGCTTTTATTCTTTTAGGTAAACAGTTTTATATTTCTATATTTCTCTGCTCTTCATTTATAATCATTAAAATATTAATTTCTATATGTGATTTCATATATGTATGCATATTTTGTATATATATCACATTTAAAGAACAGATATAACTTATTTGCACATAAAGGATGGCAATTTTCCAATATCAGTAGCATATACTGGTTTACGAACAATAATATCTTAAAAATAATTGATAAATTTAAGGGATATGAACCATATTGTAGAACTAGAGTTGGGGTAAGCATCAAGGAGATATCATTTTGACTGGAACTGTATGATTCCATATGTCTTTGACTTAAAAGTACACATTAAATTTATATGTAAAACCTCAGGTTAGTTATTCCAAAGAAGTATTCAGGAACATACTCATTTCTATTTATTGTACCTATGTGGTCGGGTTGATTAAGTACATATTTTATTTAAGATTATATTAAGTTTAGTATTACTATGAACAAATTGAATGAAGGCCAAGTCAACAATTTTACTTTTCAGGAGCATTTACTTATAATTTTTTTATTAAATACATAATGTGAACAACAAACCATGATTTCACGTGGACAGTCTATACATAATTAATACAAAAGAAAATTCTAATAAACCAAGATTTTATAATGATTGCTTGTTGGGATTAGATTTTTATCTTTTTCATTGTAAAAGGGAAACAACAAGAGATCTTTAGTAAACATGTTGTTAGTTTTGGCAGAAACAAAAGCAGACATTCAGCGAACAAAGGAGCATGAGAGACAAAGGACATTTTATCTCAGTTAGAGGAAAATGGACTTGGACTTACTAGTCATAATTAGCAGTGAGACCAAATAGAGCCTACATAGTTGTGCTTTCCTGGCTACAGCTTGTCCCTCAAATTGCAATTCATCCTTAGAGTCTCTGTTGAGATCTTTAAATTCATATTAGGATCTCTGTAGAAGCTAGTAATTTTATCACATAATAACCTATTAATGTTAAAAACAAAACACAGGTAAAAACATTAAAAATAAAACAAAATAAACAACATAGAGTTCTGATATTTTCTCCATGGTCATATATAAAATGAGTATGGGGATTCTACTGGACTCAATGGGACCATGGTATATCATGGTGGCCACCATTTCAGATTGTCCCAAGAAGTCACATGGCATATGCTTTCTTTATGATATCATTAGTAAAATTAGCTGCCAAATCACATGGTTGCTTCCATTTTGATGAGGATCCACAAGTCATGTGTCCAATAATCAAGGTCATATTTTTTTGCTCAAGTTGAACTCAGCTGCAGAGTAATGTAATTACATATATCATCAGGGCATTCCAGGTTGTGTAATCCACTTTGTGTGGGAGGTAAGAACACACTGAAGGGATAAAGAATGAGGCAGGCAGATGGTGGAAAATACAAAATCCTAGCACACAGTACTCCAGAGGATTCAAGTTATGACTGTAGGCTGTTAAACTATAGGAAGCTCACTCAGTTATTCTGATTCATTGTATGGCTCTCAGAAAGGAGAGGGAGATGTCAATCAGAGAAAGGAAAGGTTGTTCAAAAAGATATGTGTGGGTGTTGGAAAACCTAACCCCTCCCAGGTTCATATCCAGGATTGCTTTGGACTTGATGCATGTGACACAGGCAGACATCCCCATAAGCATCAGTGGCCCTTATTCAGAAGAACAGAAGGCAGCAGTCTCCATCTATGTACACACAGAGTGAATGTGGTGTGGGAGCACTGGAGTTTATACAGCAGAGAACAGGAGAGCCTTTAACGATGGAAGTGTTCCTCTCCTGGTTATTTCACTAAAGTATCAAAGAATTATAAGGTTTTTGTTTGTGTTTTCCCATACTAGAGATTCCAAGGTTGTTATCAGTTCAAGGCAATTTTCGTGTCCAAAAATTTTAGAGATACCTGAGGCTTTTAGGTAATTAAAACATTTTTTACTATATACCGTGGCATTCAAATTATAATCATTATCTTAATGACAAAAATTATTATTTGTAGATGTATAACACTGACAGTATACAAGCCTTTGGTACCGTATTATCAGATTGTGATCCAGCATCATACTGTTAGATAAGATGTGAGTCCCCAAAATAAATACTGACAATCTTTCTCTCCAGGTTCAAATTGAGGAGCTACCAGTCTTCTTTGGCCTTCATATTTGCCATTGAGGAGATCAACAGGAACACTCACATTTTACCCAACACATCTCTAGGATTTGAGCTCTATAACGTCAAAAGCAATCAACTGGATATTCTGCAGGAAACTTTTCATTGCCTCACAGGAATGGGAATAAACATTCCCAATTACACATGCAGAAGGGAGAACAAGGCTGCTGCTTTACTTACAGGAACAGCATGGGAAACATCTGCACGTGTTGGGAGACTGCTGAATCTCTACAACTATCCACAGGTGAGGAACATGTCTGTGAGTGAACAAGAAACCCATATTAAACTGCAGACATTTCAGGTGTTTTCAAATGCAAAGAAGTGAGGCTGTGTCATTCATCTGGATATATGTCCTCATATACTTTGCTTGAGATAGAGAAGAGGAAGAGGTTGGAGCCTATAAAAGGTGTTTAGAAAACTTTGTGTCTTGTGAGGAATTCTTTATAAATGTCTTCAGAAACAGGATGGGAGTTTAAAACACCATGAGTAAAAATCAGTATGTACCAACCCAAAGTGTCACTTCAGGTGTAAGACTATGCTATGTGTCAATGTTTTCCTTCTTGTTTCCTATTTGAAATTTCCTTCAGCTTACTTTTGGGCGATTTGACACTGTTCTTAGTGACAGAGGCCAGTTTTCTTCTCTCTACCAGACAGCACCCAGGGACACATTTCTGTCACATGGCATTGTGATTTTGATGGTTCATTTCAGCTGGACCTGGGTGGGACTGGTTCTCATAGATGACCACAATGGGGCTGAGATTCTATCAGACCTGAGAGGAGAGATGGACAGGAACAGAGTGTGTGTAGCTTTTGTAGAAATGATTCCTGACAACTGGATTAACTCTGGCTACAAATCCAGAACAAGTCATAGGCAGATCCTGAAATCATCTGCAAATGTGATTTTCATTTATGATGTCACTATATCTTTATATGGTATAATACTATATATAAGTATACACTCAATTACTTGGAAAGTCTGGATCATTAAGTCACAATGGGATGTATCTACTGATGTTCCTTTTTTCATATTTGATCCATTCCATGGGAGTCTCATTTTTGCACAACACCATGCTGAGATTTCTGATTTTAGGAAGTTTATCCAGTCATACAAGCCTTCCACATATCCAGAAGACCATATCCTTGCTCTTTTGTGGAAGAGATATTTCAATTGCTCTTTTTCTGGACCTGATTGTAAAAGTTTGGTTAACTGTCTACCCAATGCTTCCTTGGAAATGTTGCCTGGAAATGCTTTGGAAATGGACATGACTGAAGAGAGTTACAATGTATATAATTCTGTATATGCTGTGGCTCACAGTCTCCATGAGATGACTCTGAAACACGTGGAAATTCACCCTCATGGAAATGAGGAGGTAAATACCTACCATTGGGAGGTAATTTCTCTTCCTATATATTTTATCAATAGCCCTGTGATAGACTGAGGTTTTCAAAAAGTCCACAATACATGATACTGTGGAGGTTTTACCAGAAAGCACCTGAGAGACTGTATGTTATTCATCATCAAGAAGTCTTTGCAGACACATATGGCATGTTCATGATAAATGGGTCGAAATAAAAAGATTTAAATGAGCCGGGCGGTGGTGGCGCACGCCTTTAATCCCAGCACTCGGGAGGCAGAGTCAGGCGGATCTTTGTGAGTTCGAGGCCAGCCTGGGCTACAGCGCGAGATCCAGGAAAGGCGCAAAGCTACACAGAGAAACCTTGTCTCAAAAAACCAAAAAAAAAAAAAAGATTTAAATGTGTATATGTCATTATCTACTTTGTGTTACAATTAGCCTCAGAATCTGCTCATGATACTATGCTCAACTGAAACCCCATTATCTCTAAGTATATTTCAAAACAGAGATAGGAGAATTAGATCCTAAATGGTCAAATGCTACTAAATCCATATAGTTCAAATTCTGAATCTATGGTTATGTTTCCTATCAGACCATTTTATTACTTTTTGTACATAAACACTGAAATTTACATACTGAAACTTTGAGTAGATTAAATATTTCAAGATTGTAAAATTTGCTTGAATCAACATTCATGGAGTAAATATTTTTGTGAGTCTGCTTGTTATTCTCTAAGTGTGTGTGAATTCTTTCTTTTGAAATAACAGTCTAGAACCATGATATATTTTTATTCTTCATCCATTAAAATGCTGATAGCTTGGTGTAGCTTGCAATTAATGTCAGGGATCTGGGACAATGAGAGCTATTGATTCATTGGGTTCTGTTGAACCTTTAGGGAAATAAATTCATCATAAAATTCTGCATTTCTTATAGCTTCACCCTTATCTCAAGACTATCCATTACAAAAATGGTGCTGGAAAAATTATGGTTTTGGATTCACAAAGGAAATTAGATGCAGAATATGATATTCTCAACCTCTGGAATTTTCCAGATGGTCTCAGACAAAAGATAAAAGTTGGAACATTTTCTCCAAATGCTCCACAGGGCCAAGAACTGTTTCTGTCTGACCATATGATACAGTGGGCTATAGGATTTACAGAGGTGGGCTGGATCTTATCTCCTTGTTTTGATCCTCATGTCAATAGACATTTGTTTGTGGATGTAATGATTGTTGGTTCCTTACTCAATGCCCATCTGCATGCCCCAAACTACTGTCATTTGAGAAAGTTTTTGTAGCCTTATACAGCATGTGATTGTTTGTTTTTCCATACTTTTATCTTCGGACACATTTTTCCAATAATAAACACAGTGTCTATTTATTAAGTTTTCATTCCCGTCCTGAAACCACCTGCCATGAGTCGTAATTTGACTCCCAGATCAGGAAATATCAGGACATGGTCATTTTGCTTTCAGGCACCTGGCAATGCACTGTAGCATGGAGGGCACATGTGCATGTGTTAATTACATGTCTTCCTCTTGAATAAGGAAGCAATTTGTCAAACACTCAAAAAAACATGATTACATAACTTATGAACATAGACTTTATTGGGCCACACTTAGCATGAGCAGTTCATAATGATTCAGTCAATCATGTTGGGAAGAACCTGAGAAAGTGAGTCATGTATCTTCAGTCAGGAAAAAGATAGATATGAACACTCTCTTCAGACTTTTTTGTTTCTTTTTTCAGTTCTTAATAGCAGCCAATAAAATTGTGCTATCTAATTATAAAATACATCTTCCTACTTCAGGTACCCTAATGTAGATCATCTCTTATAGAAAGGTAGAAGGACTAGTTCATATGGTAATTCTGAATCCTGTCAAATAAACAAATGTAAATTAAACATCGTCATTGGGAAACAAACATGCTCTCACTCCAGCTGTCAGGAAGTATACAACAAGATCAGGATGGCATTAGAGTTGCCCATTTAAACATTCAGCTAACTTCTTATTTTGCCCAACCTCTTATATTTTCACAATGATTCAGATTTCAATTGTCTTTAGATCATTGTTTAAACACATTGATCTTCATTGGTATACTATATTTAAATTAGAAGCAATGCAGTAAATCAAGATTCTGAAAAGGAATAATTATAAAAACTTGTCATCTCATTGTTCAACATTGAGAAATAATGCTTTTATTGTTTTAAAACTATAGACTCCTGAGTATTTTCTCTTCACTTTATAATTCTCAGCTTCCTCGCTCTGTGTGCAGTGAGAGCTGTGTTCCTGGATTCAGAAAATCACCCCAGGAGGGCAAGGCTGCCTGCTGCTATGATTGCATTCATTGTCCAGATAATGAGATTTCCAATGAGACAGGTAAGTGTCAGTGTTACTGGGATATTTCCCACCTCTTCACAGTGTTCTGAAATGTTTAAGCAGATGGACAAGTTCTGTAATTTAGAGATAAGTCCTGTGATTCTTTCAGTTAGAAGTAATAATAATATTTTGGTTCATTTTATCATCATTTTAAATGGTGCTCAGGTCATAAAAACTCCTACTTGATTCATGTATTTGATTCACTATAGCCATTGTTCCTTTCAGAGAACAACTTTACCGATCACAGAGTAGTCTGCTTTATTTCACCATGGCATTTAACACACACACACACACACACACACACACACACACACACACACACACACACACACACAAGCATGCATGTACACACAAATACTCTATGAATCAATGACTTTCCTTGTATTTCAGTTCATAGTTAGCACACATTAATTTAAGGACTGGATCCTTAAGACCTTCATTTGCATAATTTTAGTCATGATTCTAGGTTCATCAGATGTGATCAGAAATGTCATATTTGATTTACCTGTGGACATATTTAAAAATGTTTTATTTTAGATTCTTTTTCATTTTGTTTTATTTCTGAGTGTTTTGTCTGCATGCATGTATGTACACATGTACTTGCTTAGTGCATATCAAAGTTAGAAGAGGGCATCAGATCTCCCGGAGGTGGAGGCACAGATAGCATTGACATCCCTACAGGTGCTTACAACTGAAACCAGGTCCTCCTTAAGAGTAACAGTATCCTGAACCACAGATCCATTTGTCTACCTTCATCTTTTTTATTTCCCCTATAAATAACGTTCAGTATTCACTTAATGAGTATCTTTTCTTCCCCTTTTTCCTCCATCCCCATGTGAGTACTAGAAACTTCAAGCTAACTTCCATGGAGAGGGATATCCTTCAGTAACATAGGTATTAAAGATCTAAAACTTGTTGTGTACCAGAATATATCCACTAGGTAGATATGTCAATAACCTATTAAGAGAATCTTACATTGAACAAAATTGATTTTAAATCAATATTTGCTATGTATCATAAATTTGAATCTAGATTTGTATCCTTTCTTTGTTAATTTGAATAACATAAGCTAATGATTGTGATAAGTAGTCATTATCTCATTGTATACAATTGACTCTATTTTTATAAAAAGTTAACGATAGCATTATTAAACATAGAAGAGGTAAATTACGGGACGGGACAATGCCTTGTGACAGCTAGTTGAAAAGACACATCATCACTTTCGTTAATGATACTGTTGTGAATAATCCATGCATAGATGCATACCCTTGTTCTCAGAACAAGGCAGGGCATTAAATTTGAAGGACCCTCTTTTCCAGGAATAGGTGGACAAAGTAGAGGAACCTTATGTCAGAATATATCCAAGGAAGAGGAAATAGGCATGAGACAATTGACAATATTAAATGTGAGGAGCTAACACAGACACAATATTGAACATGGAGAGAGAATATAAGAGGATCCCTCAACCTTAACATTTTTGTCTAATGAGATTTTTCATATATTAATTGGAATATTTTGAGTAACACAATGGGTTTCCTGAACACTCAGATATTTTAACTTTAATTCTTAAAGATAAAACTTGCAATTTTTTGGTTGCTTTAAATTACCTAATTTAAAATGTACATATTAAGACTGATTCTACAGACCATCAAAGACTTATTGTTCATACAGGTGCTTTGTGTACACTGGGAACATGATAAGTTCATGCATATGATAATTATATTCATTAGTGGAAACTAAAACATCAATATCAAATTCTGCATGGTTGCAGTTTTTTGTTTTTTTTTTCTTTCTGTTTTTTTTAAATTTTCCTTGAGGAGTTTTTTTTTTTGAGTTGATTTTTTTTTTTTAATTTTGCAATACAATTCAGTTCTACACATCAGCCATGGATACCCCCGTTCTCCTCCATCTGGCTCCCCCCACCCTCCCTCCAGCCCACCCCCCATTCCCACCTCCCCCAGGGCAAAGCCTCCCCCGAGGACTGAGACCAACCCGGTAGACCCAGTCCAGGCAAGTCCAGTCCCCTCCTCTCAGGCCGAGCCAAGCGACCCTGCATAGGCCCCAGGTTTCAAACAGTCAACTCATGGAATGAGCACAGGACCCGGTCCCACTGCCTGGATGCCTCCCAAACAGATCAAGCCAACCAACTGTCTCACCCATTCAGAGGGCCTGATCCAGTTGGGGACCCCTCAGCCATTGGTTCATAGTTCATGTGTTTCCATTCGTTTGGCTATTTGTCCCTGTGCTTTATCCAACCTTGGTCTCAACAATTCTCGTTCCTGATTTTAGAGGAATTGCTTTGAGTTTCTCTCCATTCAATTTGATGTTGGCTGTTGGCTTGCTGTAAATTACCTTTAGTATGTTTAGGTATGTTCCCTGTATTCCTGACCACTCTAAGACCTTTATCATGAAGGGGTGTTGGATTTTGTCAAATGCCTTTTCTGCATCTAGTGAGATGATCATGTGGTTTTTTTCTTTGAGTTTGTTTATATGGTGTATTACATTGATGGACTTTCGTATGTTGAACCACCCTTGCATCCCTGGAATGAAGCCTACTTGATCATGGTGGATAATTGTTTTGATGTGTTCTTTGAGTCTGTTTGCCAGTATTTTATTGAGTATTTTTGCATCAATGTTCATGAGGGAGATCAGTCTGTAGTTCTCTTTCTTTGTTGTATCCATGTTTGGTTTAGGAATCAGGGTAATTGTAGCCTCATAGAAGGAGTTTGGTAATGTTCCTTTTGTTTCTATTGTGTGGAACAATTTAGAGAGTATTGGTATTACCTCTGCTTTGAAGATCTGGTAGAATTCTTCGCTGAAACCATCTGGTCCTGGGCTTTTTTTGGTTGGGAGACTTTTAATGACTGTTTCTATTTCGTTAGGGGTTATTGGACTATTTAAATAGTTTATCTGGTCTTGATTTAACTTACATATGTTGTTCCTATCCAGAAAATTATCCATTTCTTTCAGATTTTCCAGTTTTGTGGAGTAGAGGTTTTTGAAGTATGACCTGATGATTCTCTGAATTTTCTCATTGTCTGTTGTTATGTCCCCCTTTTCATTCCTGATTTTGTTGATTTGGATGCTCTCTCTGTCTTGTGTTTAGTTTGAATAAGGCCTTGTCCATCTTGTTGATTTTCTCAAAGAACCAACTCTTTGTCTCATTAATTTTTTGTATTGTTCTCTTTGTTTCTATTTTATTGATTTCAGCTCTCACTTTGATAATTTCCTGGCGTCTATTTTTCCTGGGAGACTTTGCTTCTTCTTGTTCTAGAGCTTTCAGGTGTGCTGTTAAGTCACTAGTGCGAGATTTCTCCAACTTCTTTATGTGGGCATTTAGTGCTATGAATTTTCCTCTTAGCACTGCTTTCATAGTGTCCCATAAGTTTGGGTATGTGATGTCTTCATTTTCATTGATCTCTAGAAAGTCTTTAATTTCTTTCTTTATTTCTTCCTTAACACATTGGTGATTCAGTTGAGTATTATTCAGTTTCCATGAGATTGTAGGTTTTCTGTAGTTTTTGTTGTTGTTGAAATCTAACTTTAGACCATGGTGGTCTGATAGAACACAGGAGGTTATTCCAATTGTTTTGTATCTGTTGAGATTTGTTTTTTGGCCAAGTATGTGGTCGATTTTAGAGAAGGTTCCATGGGGTGCTGAGAAGAAGGTATATTCTTTTTTGTTAGGATGGAATGTTCTGTAGATATCGATTAAGTCCATTTGAGTCATAACATCAGTAAGTCCTTTATTTCTCTGTTAAGTTTTGATTTGGGAGATCTGTCTAGTGGTGAAAGTGGGGTGTTGAGATCTCCCACTTTTAATGTGTGGGGTTTTATATGTGGTTTAAGCTTTAGTAATGTTTCTTTTACATATGTGGGTGCCTTTGTGTTTGGGGCATAAATGTCCAGAATTGAAACTTCATCTTGGTGGATCTTTCCTGTGATGAGTATGTAATGTCCTCCTTGATCGCTTTTGATTGATTTTAGTTTGAAGTCTATTTTGCTGGATATGAGGATGGCTATGCCCGCTTGTTTCTTAAGACCGTTTGAATGGAAAGTCTTTTCCCAGCCTTTTATTCTTAGATAGTGTCTCTCTTTGAATTTGAGATGTGTTTCTTGTATGCAGCAGAAAGATGGGTCCTGCTTTTGAATCCATTCTGTAAGCCTATGTCTTTTTATAGGTGAATTAAGTCCATTGATATTGAGGGATATTAATGACCAGTGATTGTTCATTCCTGTTATTTTTTGGTGGTAATGTGTGTGTACTTCTCTTCATTGGGGTTTACTGCTGTGGCTTTATCTATTGCCTGTGTTTTCGAGGGTGTATCTGACTTCCTTAGGCTGGAATTTTCCTTCTGGTGCTTTTTGTAGGGCTGGGTTTGTGGATAAGTATTGTTTGAATTTGGCTTTGTCTTGAAATGTCTTGTTCACTCCATCTATGATGATTGCAAGTTTTTCTGGGTATATTAGTCTAGGCTGGCATTGGTGGTCTCTTAGTGTCTGCATTACATCTGCCTAGGTCCTTCTGACTTTCAAAGTCTCCATTGAGAAATTGGGTGTTATTCTGATGGGTTTGCCTTTATAAGTCACTTGGCCTTTTTCCTTTTCTGCTCTTAATATTCTTTCTTTATTCTGTACATTTAGTTGTTTAATTATTATGTGGTGAGGGGACTTTTTTTGGGGGTCTAGTCTGTTTGGTGTTCTATAGGCTTCTTGTATTTTCATAGGCATTTCCTTTTTTAAGTTGGGAAAGTTTTCTTCTATGATCTTGTTGAATATATTTTCTGTGCCTTTGAGTTGGTATTCTTCTCCTTCTTCTACCCCTATTATTTGTAGGTTTGGTCTTTTCATGGTGTCCCAAATTTCTTGGACATTTTGGTTCATGACTTTGTTGGCTTTAGTGTTTTCTTTGACTGATGAAACTATTTCTTCTACTGTATCTTCCACACCAGAGATCCTCTCTTCCATCTCTTGAATTCTGTTGGTTATACTTGCATCTGAAGTTCCCATTCGTTTACTCAGATTTTCTATTTCCAGCATTCCCTCTGTTTGTGTCTTCTTCATTTTTTCTATTTCCCTTTTCAGGTCTTGGACTGTTTCCTTCATTTGTTTCATTGCTTTTTCTTGATTTTCTTTCAGTACTTTATTGTTTTCTTCCAGGACTTTATTGTTTTCTTCTAATTTGTTGCCCTTTCCTCTAGTTGTTTACAGCGTTCTTCCCATTTTTTGTCTTTTCCTCTACCTTCTTCATGATGTCATTCATAAGGCTGTTTTCTTCTGCTTCTTCCAATTTTTGATGTTCAGGTCTAGATGTTGGAGGAGGGCTAGATTCTGGTGATGCTGTATTCCTCTTCATTTTGTTGTATGTATTTGTGCTTTGACACATGCCCATCTCCTTGTGGTTCGTTCTTGGTCTTATCAGCACACTTGGTTCAGACAGAGCTGACAGATTCAGGAAGTCTCTCTCTCTTGTCCAGATGGAAGCTCTCTTGTCCAAATGGGAACTCCGGAGCAGGATGGGAGCTCTTGTCTAGATGGGAAGTCCAGGGAAGTATGGGAGCTCTTGTCCAGACAGGAAGTCTGGGGCAGGATGGGCACTCTTGTCCAGAAGGGAAGTCCGGGGCAGGATGGGAGCTCTTGTTTCTCTCTCTCTGGTCCAGAAGGGAAGTCTGGGGCAGAATGGGAGCTCTAGCCCAGAAGGGAAGTCCGGGGCAGGATGGGAGCTGGGGGGCCGGTCTCTGAGTCTCAGGAAGTGGCTGAGGTTTCAGGCGGATGGGTGTGGGGGCAGGGCGTGGAGATTGCAGTGTCTGCCGGTCTTGGAGAAGGGGATGCTCTGGTCCGGAAGGGAAGTCCGAGGCAGGATGGGAGCTGGGGGCCGGTCTCTAAGTCTCAAGAAGTGACTGGGGTCTCGGGTGGATGTGTGTGTGGGGGCAGGGCGTGGAGATTGCAGGGTCTGCTGGGGTTCTTGGAGAAGGGGATCCTTCCTGGTGGGACTAGAAGGGAACCTGCCCAGTGGCCGGAACCTGGGGTCAAGTTGGGCAGGTCTTCCCTGGAGTGGCTGGTGCCCAGGGATGGGGTCCAGGCTGAGCCAGGACACTCACCTCTGGTCCAGAAGGGAAGTCCGGGGCAGGATGGGAGCTGGGGGCCGGTCTCTAAGTCTCAAGAAGTGGCTGGGGTCTCGAGCAGATGGGCGTGGGGGCAGGGCTTGGAGATTGCAGGGTCTGCCAGGGATCTTGGAGAAGGGGGTCCTTCCCGGTGGGGCTAGAAGGGAACCTGGCCGGTGGCCAGAACCTGGGGGCAAGTTGAACAGGTCTTCCCCGGAGTGGCTGGTGCCCAGGAATCACAGTTTTTTTTAACTAACTCTTTTATTTTTCATTATTTCTTTTTTTATAAATATTTTTATTTTATAATTAATTTAATTTTACATATCAGCCATGGATTACCCTGTCCTCCCTCCTCCCACTCCCCAGCCCTCCAATATCAAGACCATGATTGGAAAAAGCACAGGGACAAATAGCCATACTAGTGGAAACACATGAACTGTGAACCAATAGCTGAGGAGCCCCCATGGAACTGAACCAGGCCCTCTGAATAAGTGAGACAGTTGATGAGCTTGAACTGTTTAGGAGGCCCCCAGGCAGTGGGACCAGGACCTGTCCTTAGTGCGTGAGCTGGCTTTTTGGAACCTAGGGCCTATGCTGGGACACTTTGCTTAGCCTTGGTGCATGGTTGCAGTTTAAGAAGACACTTAAAAATATTATTAGTAAGAAAGAAGAAAATAAAATATAAATGCTAAATATTCCAAAAGAGTGAATCCTATACTTTCAATCCTATAATATGAGATGTATGTACATTTAAAAGACTCCTGTTTATGTCTCTATAAAATATTTGTCATAACTTATATACCCCATGCTTTCACTAAAGAATACATGGGGTTGTGCTGATGAATCATTCATGATTTGTTAGAAACCAATAGAAGTAAACACATGGGATATAGTAGAGACAGATTCCCTTGAGAGTCTGAGCACAGCAGGAAGGCATATCTGAAATAAACAAATAAAATGCTGATAATGGAATAAAAGACTCTATAGACACTAGCAAGAAGATGAATTCAATAGATTTTTAATTAGAATTTTAAACACCAATTAAACAGCAAATTCTACTTTGGAAAAATTTGAAAAATTTAAATGAAGTATGAAATGAAAATATTTTAAAGAAAAAGTGTAATAAATACATGATACTTATATCTTTTGAATTCAAAATGTAACACAAAAATTATAAATGATAGAGTATCACGAATCATTCCATTATCAACTAAGTCTAAACTTGATAAAGAGTTTTATATCTACCTGTTAAATAGTTCATTTCTCCCTGGATATGATTAAATAGTTTCACAAGGGGAGTTTTTACATCTCTCAAGAATCTAATAATTCTCATTCATACAAGTACCATCAGAGAATGAACACATAGGAGTATTCAATAAATTCTTTAGAAATAGGTAGATTTTGATATTAGGACTGAGAAAACATTAGAAGAAAGAAATTTCAAAGCACATAATCATATACTTAGCTCACATGAAAAAGTCACACAAGGGAATTCAGAAGGAGGTCTAACTATAATCAAGTCAGGTTTATGTAATTTAATTCAATAATTTATGAAACATACAAAGAACAAATACAAATGATCACATAATTAAAAATATATAGAAGTATAATCATGGAAAGGCTAGATTTGTTCACTTTGTGTCCAACAAAGAAGATAGGCAGTATCGATGTGGAATAATTGATAAAGAGAATTTGAGAATTTTCACTACTGACCACTGATTTAATTGAGTCTCGAACAATAAAGGAAATGTGGTTAAAAGTCAGAGAGCTGATGCTGTGAATTGGTTTGAGATAAAAGGGTAACCTGAGCAGAGACTCACGATAAATTTTATTCCTGAGTAGATATGGATCATTGTGTGAGGTGTCCAGAAAGTCATTATGCAAACACAGAGCAGAACCACTGCCTCCAGAAAGCAGTGACTTTTCTGTCCTACGAAGACACTTTGGGGAAGGCACTCACCTACTTGGCCCTGGGCTTCTCTGCACTAACAGCTGTTGTTCTTGGTGTCTTTGTGAAGCACCACCACACTCCCATTGTCAAGGCCAACAATCAGGCTCTCACTTATATCTTGCTCATCACTCTAATCTTCTGTTTTCTCTGTCCATTGCTATTCATTGGCCATCCCAACACAGTCACCTGTGTCCTGCAGCAGAGCACATTCGCAGTCCTGTTCACAGTGGCTCTTTCCACAGTCTTGGCCAAAACTATTATTGTGGTTCTGGCTTTTAAGATCACATTTCCAGGGAGGCTAATAAGGTGGATAATGATATCAAGGGCTACTAACTTCATTATTCCTGTCTGCACCCTTATCCAACTTGTGCTCTGTGGAATTTGGCTGAGCACCTCTCCTCCATTTATTGACTCAGATGCTTACACTGAACATGGCTACATAATTATTATATGCAACAAGGGCTCCACTATTGCCTTCCATTCTGTCCTGGCATACCTCTGCTCCATGGCACTTGGAAGCTACACTATGGCTTACCTGTCCAGGAACCTGCCTGACACATTCAATGAAGCCAAGTTCATCACTTTCAGCATGTTGGTGTTCTTCAGTGTGTGGGTCACCTTCCTCCCTGTCTACCACAGCACCAAGGGGCAACACATGGTGGCCATGGAAGTCTTCTCCATCTTGGCTTCCAGTGTAGGTCTCCTAGGTTGCATCTTTTCCCCCAAGTGCTATATTATTTTGTTCAGACCACATAGGAATGTGCTTTATCATGTCAGGAACAAAGTACCTTCTAGAGGAAAAGTGGGTCTTACAGCTTAGTCCATGTTTTTCTGAGTTACATAGAACAGTTCAAGCCTGTATAGCACAAATCCAATTGTCAGAGATTATATAGCAATTTAAGATTTTACATTTATTGCTGTAATTCATCTTTATTCTTTCTTTGTGTAATATTTTTACATATTTCTCTAAATTAGAAAAGCTATTTCCATAAAATTCATGGTCTATCTCAACTAATATTATAGAGAAGATGAATGGGACATGTATATATTCTTTACCTCTTCAACACTGCATAACTTTGCTTAATAGAACCAAATGTTTTTATAGGTATCCATGTGTTTTTTATGCTCTTGGTATGATTTTTAAATTCATCGTGCTTATGTTTCATGTATGCTTTTTCTATGAAGGAAGGCATATTTTTAAAATGAATATAATTTGGTCATGAATATATTACTCTGCTAAATAATTAATTTCATAATGAGCGGCATACTAGAGTTGAATCAAGACCAAATTATTTCTTAATACAACCCAAATCAGATACCAGAAATTAGATATTATACAATCAGTTCCATGATGTTACTGTTAAATCTCTGAAAAATGTGAAAATTCCTGCTGTAACCACTTCTGTAGAATTCATCATGTCTTTCTTTGACAAAAGATATCCGAATGATTTGTGTACTCAGTCATTCATAATACTTCAATTTTGAAAAACTACTCTACATTCTTTCAAATGAAACTGTATATTATGTAACTTCTGCATATTTATGAGTAATCATTTCTCCATTTTTATCAACATTTATTAAAACTTATGTAATTCTTTGGGAATAACATTTCTGACTCTTGTTAGTTCTTGTGTATTTGCAAAAATGTCTAAGACATTATGTACTCTGTGACTTGTATCTTGTTATTTGTTTGTAATCAGTCTTTTTATGGCTCACTAGCTGTTAAACTTTCAAGAATAAGGAGGATGGTAAATTATAACTATAACTGTAATTAAATTAAAAACAAGCCAGATTCTGTCTTTCAGAACAAGTCATCAGAGTGACTTTTAAAAATTTATTTTCATGTATAATATTTTGTGATCATAGTTTGTCCTCCCTCATTTCCTCCCAGATTCTCCTTAAATTCCAAACAAACACTTAATGGCTTCTTTTCTTCTCTCTTTAGAAAACAAACAGCAAAAACTCAACTAGAACAAAACAAACAAGCAAACAAATAAACAAAACAATAAAAAGTATGTAGAATACTTGGAAATGCAGACACACACACATACACACAAACATACATTCACACACAGGTGTACAGCCTGCAACATAAGCTACTGCAATAGTGACATACATCTTAGGGGAGTAACCAATCAACATCTGATTTGACTCTTGGTCCAATCCATGAAATGGAAAACATACCTGACACTGTTTTCCTGTGTCAATACATCTGAAGCTAGACAGCTCAAGGACCTAGGGTAAAACCAAATATTATACTTCTAGTAACGGAACATAGCAATAAAATGACTACTAATGACATTCTGGAACACATCAGTGTCTTCCTCAACCATTGTCAAAGAAGCTTCCTCCTGAAGCAGATGAGAGCCATTATAGAGACCCTGAGCCAGACATTATGCTGAGAATGATAGACCTTGGAATTTGCAGTCCTAAACTGTGTGCCTCCATCTAATCCCTCCCCTCAGGACCTAGGGAACACTGTGGCAAATTAGACAGAAAGAGTGTTGGAGGCAGAAGGGATAGAGGATACCATGAGAACAGGACCCTCTACATCCAAAAGATAAATGCACATATGCATTCTCAGAGACTGAGGTAACATGTACAGGGCCTGCATTGGTCCTTAACAATTGGGACCCCAGAGCTGAAATGGGAAGTGTTCACATTCCTTCATTCCTAACCCAACAGGTATTTGCAATTACTAGGAAATTACCAATGAAAGTCTAGTATTGTCTAAGAGAGTCTCATTAAGGCAACAAAAAAGTTCTTGTAAACATAGGGTGCAAAATTAGCGCTAGATTGCCAAGAGAAAATAGAGTCAATGGTGTCTTTGCAGCTTCCCTGTATCATAATGTCCTCTCAGGGCTTTTCATTTTTTCTCTTTTATTTTATATTATGTATTTTGTGTATGTATTATGGCTTCTAGATTCATGATATTATGAGATTCCTGAGAGTGTGAATAAGTGGGTCTCTGTGTCTATATGTTTCCCATGTGCTTTCTTGGGTAATTTTCCTTTTGTGCAGTAGTTTTGTACTATTCTGATATGTTAGGCTTTGCTTCATATGACACTATCTTGTATTATATTTTATAAGTATCCCTTGGAATCCTGATTGTTTTCTAATGAGAGACAGAATGGGGTTTGTTCTGAGCAGGAGGAGTGATGGGGAGGAACACAGAGAAGAAGAGATTGGGAAAAGTGTAATTAGGATATACCATGTAAGAAAAAAAAGATATTTTCTATAAATGAAAAGGAAAGATAAAAAGACATAAAAAACATAATTAGAAACCATAATATCTAAGCAAATGATATTAGCTAAACTATTTTAAAAAAGAGAATTATGAGCCCTAAAACTTCCAAGGTATAATAATTTCAATTTTTTTTTATTAATTTATTTTGCAATACAATTCAGTTCTACATATCAGCCACGGATTCCCTTGTTCTCCCCCCTCCCGTCCCCCTCACCTTCCCCCCAACCCCCCCCCCATTCCCATCTCCTCCAGGGCAAAGCCTTCCCCACAGACTGAGGTCAACCTGGTAGACTCAGTCCAGGTAGGTCTAGTCCCCTCCTCCCAGGCCGAGCCAAACAATCCTGCATAGGCCCCAGGTTTCAAACAGCCAACTCATGCAATGAGCACAAGATTTTCTTATTTATTGAAAATAGATTTTTTCATACACTGTATTCTTATCATGAATTTCTTTCCCTCATTACTCCCAGACCTTACCCAACTTTCTACCCACCCAAAAGTACATGCTCTCTCTTTCTCTCTCAGTAAAAACTCACAGACATGTAAAATATATACATAAGTAAATAAAACAATCCATAATAGGAAACAAACAAACAAAAAATTGAAAACTCACAAATCCCCATGAGTTCCTTTTTTGTTGCCATCTATGGGACGATGTAGGCCTTCTTTGTGGTTTCTGTACCCTGAGAAACCTCAATGGAGAAAACAAATGCTTCCTTTCATTTCCTAAGCAGGTTTATGTTTCTGTAGTGATTAACTGAAGAAATTAGAATTTTCTTCATAAAGCATCTGTAGCAATGAAAAATTGTTCATAAGACAAGTGGAAATTGTCTTTTAAATGAGCTCATGATCGTTCCTTAAAATGTAATAAATACCTTTTATGGGAAATTAAACCTAGACAGATTATCTCTCTAAAGTTAACATGGGGCTCTAGTTAAAATTTTTTCAAAATATGCAATGATCACATTTATTCTTATAATAACAGGCACAACTATTGTGGTGAGAGACAACACCTAAAAGACAGATATTTGCACTCAATCTTCATAGTTTAAGCTAACATATTTCTTTAATAAGAGACTCTCCAGTTTAAGCATTCCAATATTCCAAAAGAGTCCAACTTACATATCAGGGCACATGTACAAGGACTGCATTGATTTATGAATATATGATTGTTCATGATTTTGATTTGTTGCTTCTCTCTTTCCTGTGAAAACATTGACCTGGAATGAAAAAGAAATAGCAGACAGGCTTATTTTTCTTCATGGTGTTTATGAGATATCAGCATTATTAAAAGAAAGACATATAGGATTCAGGTGAGCTACATGTAGTGAGATTTGGGTGTATCAGCTCTTCATAGTAGAGGACAAGGAACCTGAGACTGAAGGCCAGAGCCTAAGGTAGGTAAAAATACCTTCAAAAGTCTTTGAATTAATGGCCTACTTTCACTATATGGTCTCAAACTCATTAAAATCCTACAGTCTCCCCATCTTACCAGAAACTCAGTATCACAAAAGACTGAATTAGACAGCAGTCATCAATAAAATACTCCACATTTCAGACGCACACCTAATATCTAAGATTAATATTGAAATGATGTGGTCCATGCAGCAGCATCCCATAACATCAGTTCTGCTTGCTATAACACAAATTACTTCTGTGTGGGTTCAGCTCCACTGCAGGCATATGGCTTTCCTCAGCAAAAGACATCCCAGATACAATATGCTCTCAGGCCCTCCCTCCTAACAGGACTCTGCCCTTGCCTTTGACCATTGTCAGTTAATTCTGAAACCTTGATGCAAGCTTCATGGGCTCCTCATGTTGGCAATTCTTTTTAATTCCTGCAACAAAAAACACTTTTTAAATTCTTTCATATCCTGTCACCATCTTAAAAATTCCACCGATGTCTTGGGTCATAGCAACAATAGTCTCTTTGTGATAGCCATGTGAATGTGTCTGTATTTGGACAGTTGCTAGCAGGGATTCATTTGGCCAGCATTTCCAGCAAAATACATTCTAAAGATATTGGCATATTCTCATTTTGATTTTTCTATGGGTGCTGTTATAACCAGAGGGGAACCTAAATATTTACACTGTGCTTCAAAAAAGTTTTCTGTCTAGTGGTATTCCTCTCTTTGCCAATTCCAGGAGCTTTGTGAAAAAATGACAACTTTAAATCACTGTGTTTGAACCAAGATTAAGAAAATAGTTATTTCTTTTTATTAGTTCTTTGGGAATTGTGTTTAGTGGGTACTGTAGATTTTCTTCCCATTCCTCCAGTTATATTAGTTCTAACATTGATCTGTATCCTATGAACTTTCTGCCATAGTTTTCAACCATCAAGTAATATAAGTCCTGTCCATAGAGACATTTGGATTGCATTCCACTGGAACATAGTTGAATAACCCAGGGTATAACTCTTGAAGAAACACATGTGTCAAATGACAATTACTCTTCAGCTACTGATGTCTTCATGGCTACCTCCAATCTCAAAGCAGGGATTTGTTTCCCTGTGTGCTTGCAAAAGGTGTGTGCATGTTGTCACACTTAATGTGAGTTCATATGCTCAGCTGCCTAGC